AAAACATCCTTATCATTTTCACATACAGACACCCCAATGGCTCAAACATTGCTTACTTGGCCATGGGAGAGATGTTTGTTGTTGTGTGCCTTCAAGTGGTTCCCGACTTATGATGATCATGGGGTTTTCTTGCCAAGATTTGTTCAGGAGAGGTTTGCCATTGCCTTTCCCTGAGGCTGAGAGCATGTGACTTGCCCAAGGTCACCCAATGGGTTTCGTGGCTGAGTTGGGAATCGAGCCCAATAATGTATATTTTGAAAGCAACTAGGAAAGCCAAAATTGAGAATTATACCCATAGATTCCCTTTGGAACTAGTTGTTCATTGGTGGCTGCCAGGATTGCTCATGGCTAAAGAGCTGAATGTCTACAAAGCAATATGGAAGGTTTACATTTCTTTGAATATCCAACACACTGACCTGAGCTGTATGTTGCTTCTCAATATTTCTTTAAAATATTTATAATGAAGTGCTTCATATGTCAGATGCTGGTAAGCAGCCACTGTTTCTCTTCCCATTCTGCAGGACCAGATAGCGTTTGCCACAGCTGAGCAATAACTTTTATTAGCACCATTCTCTTCAATGACCAACTTGTGAAGTTTTTCGTGAGAAGCCCAGCTGTTTGCTTGTACGTTTTTGTTTTAAAAAAGTAATGCTTACTGCTTGAGCGATAAACATTGGAAATAAACTTTTAACTTCCATAAAAGATTGCTGTGGAAAAAAATATCACACAACATGAAAGCCATTAAAGGAATTGTTAGTGGTGATGTTTTTATCACATCATGGTCTCCCTTTATAGACTAGATCAATAGAGATGGAGACTGTGTGGCCTGCTAGGTGTTGCTAAACTGCAACTCCCAAAACTCTTATCATTGACTATACTGACAAAGACCACTTGGAGTTGTCCCCTGATAGGACATCTGGAGGACCGCACAATTCATAATAAACCTGGGGAAAATGCAAGATAGTCCAAAAAAATAAAAATAAAAATAAACAAATATAGGCCAGGTGTTGTGATCATGCAGTTAAACTCATTCCTGCGATGGAGACTGCAGGCAGAATGAATTATTACCATAGTTGGTTTGAATGCATCAAGTTATGCATGCAGCATCACATAGTAATGGATCCTGGGATGTAAAACCAACGCCTTGTCTCTATTTGATTTAAAATGAGACTTTCTGCAAACCCATAAACTGGATCTCCTCACACAAGATATTATATATAGATCAGTGTTCCTTTCGAGCTGGAAAGCACTGTCACCGCAGCCTCCGAGAATACAAATCGCAATATTCACTTAAGGTACTGCGGCAACTCCAGCGCTGCTGGTATTGTTCAAATGGGGAGTTAATAGCTTGAGCCTCTTCCAATTGAGGAAAACGAAATGCACCGTGGATCCAATTTTCACACTCGGGCAGCCAGATCCCCCCCCCCACTTCCCACACCAACTCTGACCACATCCAATGCTAAATGGATTCCTGCAGACTCTGCGGCAACACAGCAACTTTCAATGGGGGGGGGGAGCTGCCTTTTTATTTTTCCATTCCACGTTCATATTCAAGGTTAGCTTCAAAGGAAAGCTACGGTTGCAAACAAGTGGCAAGAAAATGGCACTGAGGTGACCCAGGATAGGAGCGAAAGGATGCAGAGGAGGAGAATTTATTTATTTTGTTGCTAAGATTGCACCTTAGGGCTCCTTCTTTCAGAGCTATGACACAATTCTGGCAATTCTTGTCCCAAGGGGCTGAACACGACTGCTCACATCCCAGCTACCAGCGGAGCTACACGGCAGTCTAATCCTTCCCGTTAATGCAACCAGACTCCTAATACGCTTCAGGATTAGATCCAGAAGCTGGCATAATCTCAGCGCATTAGGGAAGGCTCTCCAGATGAGATCAGTGGGAATAGTGACATGAGGAAGGGAGATCCCTCTTGGACAGCTGTCAAAGGCCAAAATGGGCACTCATTAAACATGGAGATAAATAGGGTTCTCACACTGGCTGCATGTGGACCAGCTTAATGTGTAGTTTATTTCTTTCCTGGATTTATGACTTGTCCTTTAGTTCAGGAACTCCCTGGGCAGCTCAAACAAAAACGTATGCACAATACCTATCTACCTAGACTGATCAAAATGAATACAACTACTGAAAACAGGTGTTTCCAAAAAGAGGGTCAGCTTCCATCTTCTTCAGTGATGTCCACTGGAATGGGAGAGATGAACAGTTTTCCAAAGCAGTTGTAGCGTTTCTAAGGCAGAAGCGTGGAGAGGATAGGAGCATGGGATCATTCACACAACACAATGATACTGCGACTTTCCATTTTAATTGCAATGGCAACAACCCACAGAGAGCTGGGATTTGGAGTTTAGGAAAGGGTATTTAGAAATCCCAGTGGAAGAGCTCTAGTGCCTCAAGAAACTACAAACTCCAGAACTCCACAGGATGTTGCTGTGGCTGTTAAAGTGGATTGTATCACTGTGTGGCAATGGCTGACCATCTCTGAACAAATCTTGCCAAGGAAATCCCATGATAGATTCACCCTAGGGTTGCCATAAGTCAGAAGCAACAAAGTGTGACTGAGCCCTTGAAGCTAAGAATGGTTTGAGTTAAATCATTCTCAGTTAACGCCATACAGCCTCAAGGTATAACTAGAAGTGTTCTCTTTTCTCAAGCATGGTTGGAGTACAGGGTTTCTCTATTTCCCATCTTCAATCATTTTATTACATTTTATTGAATTTAATCTCAGTGTTATAGTACAGGCTGAGTCTCCCTTATCCAGAATTCCAAAATCCAAAATACTCCAAAACCCCAAACTTTTTCACGGGTGGCTGAGATAGTGACACCATTGCTTCTGACGGTTCAATGTACACAAAGTTTGTTTCATGCACAAAACTATTAAAAATAATGCATAAAATTACGTACCTTCAAGCTATGTGTATAAAGTGTATACAAAACATAACTGAATGCCATATTTAGACTTGGGGCCCATCCCCAAGATATTTCATTATATACATACATGCAAATACCGTATACACATAGGCTGAAAGTAATTTTATGCACAATATTTTTAATAACTTTGTGCATGAAACAAAGTTGGTATACACTGAACCATCAGAAAGCAAAGGTCTCACTTTCTCAGCCACTCATAGACCATTCTGGAATACAGTAGTTTAGATTTTGGAATTCTGGATGAGGGAGACTGTAACAACACAATCTGGAAAGCACTGTCCATGAACCTTTTTCTACTGACCCAAACTGATCCTGAGAAAGGCCAGGCTAGTACTAACATAGGGTGGCTCCGGACATTGGAACACATTGGGAGTCAGCAGGCCTTCCTTGAATGTCTATAAATATTAAAGAGGCTGTAGGAATTCAACAACTCAAGGCAACCAGAAAAGATAAAACCAGATCAACTGAATCCAGATACCATTCATCCCAACAAACTGCAGCCCTGTTATCCTGGGCCTTAAAGATGTCATGGTCAAAACCTGGAAAAGTTCATTCGAAGGACCACAGTTCCAAGTCATTTCCCAGCCTAAATGGCAAGTGTCTGCATTGGCTGGACTAGCCTAAGAGTGGTCATCCAAAAAGGTAATTTTTTGAGCTTTGCTTTTGGCCCGCAACAATGGGGATGTTTAAGATAGAAGAAGGAAGAAGAACTGCGACCTAAAGTCACACCATATAAATCCATTCCTTATTAAAAAGGTGGGGTAGGGAGAAACCACATTTTTGTTCTTCTACGCTAATATGCCAAAGATCAGTTTCCCACTAACCATCAGGCTACAGATGCAGAAAGAGTGGCAGTTCTAAACTTAACAGGCAAGAGACCTACAGGCATTTTCCAAATCCACGAGACAAGCTCCTAGCTCTCTGGTCTTTTAAGGATGTGGAAAACATTTGGGTCCGTTAGCAAATGCCTGGCATCCCTTAGCCAGCTAAATTTAAACTGTTACCACCAAATACTACCAGGACCAATTCCAGTGCATTTTCATGGCTGGAGAAGGATTCGAACCCTGGTCTCCAGAGTCACAGTTCAACACTCAAACCACTATAACATACTAGATCTCCTCTTTTAGCACTAGCCAACTTGAAAGGTGGCCAACAGCAGTTACCCATCCCGGAGACTCTCAAACTTTCTGGTGCTTTAAGCATATCTCTTATACCTCCATACCTCCACCCTAAACCTTTATGCCTTCATATCTTTTCAGAGCAAACAGGAGTGTGAGGTTTGGTAAAAGCAAACCATGTTTTACAAGCCTCCATCTGCTGTGTATTTATGCAACAGAAGGGAGTAGGACGCAATTGGCACGGACTGAAGAACAGAAAGAGAAAAAAAGACGAGGAGGAAGGAAAAGAAACAGAGGAAAGGTTAAGCCAGCAGCCTTCAAACTACTTTCCAACAAATTCCAATCCATTAGCAGAGGTATGAACAAAGATAATGGCTTCATGGTGCACTACATATACTAAGACAAAAGTATTCGCTAAGATGCGTATAACAAACACTGCTTCTTTTTTTTTTAATAAAAATTTATTCAACAAAAATCAAAATTAAACAATTAAACAAGACAAACATCACATACAAAACATACAAACAAAACAAGACAAAAACCACCTAAAACTTCCTAAGCTGTACACAAGAAGAGACATCTTATATTGTCTTATCTTATATTGACAATCTTATATTGTCACAGAATATAACTCTTTCCTTTCATTTAAATTTATACATCAAGAGATAAGTATAAAGACTATCATTCTAAGGAGAATTCATATCACCTAAATAGAGCAAAGTTGTAATAAACTCTAAAATTTATCACTATCACACCACGATTTATTATCCCTTAATTAAATAAATCCATTTACTAAATCACCTTTACCATATCCTGAAGATATCATTATGTCATATGTTACTACGCCAGTTCTCTTCCTTTATTTTTAATAATTATTCGACTAAACAAAAGGCTTCTTTTCAGAGGAAGTTTTTGACAGTTTGGGGAAAAAAACAGTTTCATGGCCAAAGGGGGAATTGAACCCTGGTCTGCAGAGTTGTAATCCACAATCAAACCACTACATCATACTGGCTGTAGTAGTAGTAGTAGTAGTAGTAATAATAATAATAATAATATTTATTGTTGTAACAGCCAGCATGGTGTAGTGGTTTGAGTTAGTCTAAGTGTTGGATTTCTTCTTCTTCCTCTTTCTCTTCTTCTTGGCATCATCATCATCATCATCATCATCATTATCATCATCATCATCATCACTTTACCCACTTCTCCACAAGGATCGAGCCGGGTACAGCACAGATTAAAATACAACATATAACTAAACGCATAAAACTATTTAAACACATAGGTTAAAACACATAGACATAGGATTTAAGACAACCGTTATGCCTTAAATTAAAATATATACACTATTACTACACTATTATTCCACCCCATTACATTGGAGGGAACAATCACAGTTGGCATAGTATTACTATAACTGTATCTTCCTCATGCATTGGCAGAAGTAGACTAATCTACGAAAGATAATGTTATAACTTTTTTTGCACATAGTTTCAAAGGTCCCTTGTTATGACCCTAAGGTGAACCAATTACAGGGTTTTCTTGGCAAGATTTGTTCAGAGGTTAGCCACTGCCTTCCTCTGAGGCTGAGAGCATGTGCCTTGCCCAAGGTGACCCAGTGGGGATTCGAACCCCGAGTCACAGGCTAACACTTAAATCACTAGACCACAAGATCCCTTACCCCACTGATATTCCAGACTAACACAGCTATGCCTCTGAATAAATACCGTACATATAAAATGAAACAACCAGTCCAACCCCCTGCCATGCAGGAACTCTCAATCAAACTGTCCCCAACAGATGGCCATCCAGCCTCTGTTTAAAGACTCCAAAGAAGGAGACTCTACCATTCTCTGAGGGAGTGTCTTCCACTGTCAAATAGTTCTTACTGTCAAGATGTTCCTCCTAATATTGAGCTGGAATCTCTTTTCCTGTAGCTTGCATCCATTGCTCTGGGTCTTGTTCTCTGGAGCAGCAGAAAACAAGCTTGCTCCATCCTAATATGATATCCCTTCAAAGACTTTAACAGGACTATCATATCACCTCTTAAACTTCTCTTCTCCAGGCTAAACATACCCAGCTCCCTTAGTCTTTCCACATAAGGCATGGTTTCCAGGCTCTTCACCATTTCAGTCGCCCTTCTCTGGACGCGCTCCAGCTTGTCAATATCCTTTTTGAATGGTGGTGCCAAGAACTGGACACAGTCTTCCAGGTAAGGCCTGACCAAAGCAGAATGGCACTGTTACTTTCCTTGACCTAGACACTATACTTCTATTGATGCAGCCTAGAATCGCATTGGCCTTATTAGCTGCCACATCACAGAGTTGACTCATGTTCAACTTGTGGTCTACTAGGACTCCTAGATCTCTTTCACATGTAGCCTTGTTAAGCCAGGTGTTCCCCATCTTATATCTATATATTTCATATATATTTTTTCCACCCTAAGTGCAGTACCTTACATTTCTCTCTGTTGAAGTCCATTTTGTTAGTTTTGGCCCAGCTTTCTAACCTATTAAGGTCATTTTGAATTTTGATCCTCTCCTCTGGGGTATTAGCTATTACTCCTAATTTAGTGTCATCTGCAAATTCGATAAGCATGCCCTCTGTGCTTTCATCCAAGTCATTGATAAAGATGTTGAATAGCACTGGGCCCAGTACATTTTCCCCCTACGTTCCTATATGAAGAATGAGAAACCTAGGTTTCTGCAAGCTGATGGATGACATCTCCCTTCCCATCCCTCACCATGAGCCAGGTTGGCTGGGGCTGATGGGAATTGGAGTCCACCCACATCAGGAAAGGACTGTGCCTTTTTCATCATCCACTGACCTATATGCAAATACTAGTTGAGTGAATCTGACATGCAAAACTAGGAAAGAGTCAACAAGCCTCCCCTTCGCCTCTAATTCCAGGACTGACGTCAATCCTCTGTCCTGAAAATGAAGCTGTTTAAAACAACAGCAATAACACCATTTGGTCTTTATTAACCTGGAAAAGCAAAGAGAATTTGATTGCAAGGCAATGGAAACGAAGCCACATTCTTGCAGGCTTAGTGTCAAAAGGAGTTAACACATTCCCATGTGATTTTTCTCCCTTATTTCCATTGGGAAAGGGTTATTTTAGCTAGATGTACAGTGGATCTAGCTAACAATCAAGGAGGCGAAGGAACGGCACTACGTCTCTCTCTTTCTCATTCTTTTTTATCCCTTAACAACAACAATCAAAATAAAAATCACTGAAGGAAATGCATGGGATTCTCAGCAACCACGGACATGGTTGTTGCCTCCTTCTGGAAGAGTAACTCTTACAATAAGTAGACCCTAGCAATAGGCATACAGCAGGGCTGCCTTTGGAGCAGTGCTTGGAAAAGTGAAGATTTTGGACTACACCTCCCAGAATCCCCCCAGCCCGTTTCTGTACAAGATTTGCAGCCACGTGCCTTAGTGTGATAAACTCCATAGCTGATGATACTGGCTGGGAAATTCTCAGAGTTGCAGTTCAAAAAATTAAATATGGGGAGGAAAGTCAATCAATCAATCAATAATCAATCAATATAATCATAAAAGCTGTGTGGCATTACATCAGGGGCTAGCAAAGCGCAGCTTGTGGGCTGCGTACAGTCCCTGAACCCTACTTTGGTGGCTTCTCAAGTCTCCCAAACCCCCTCAAAGTCCCCCATTTTTTAACATAAAAAAATCAAGGCATGTTGGGGGGCATTTTTGTTTTCAAACCACATAGAAAGCCCCCCAAATGTGTGAAAAGATGCAACACTTCCGCAGCCATCCCACAAGCACCTTAGAACCTGGCACTACCCACATATACCTTTATTTTACTTTGCAGCCCTTCTCAAAATGGTGGCAGGGTGCACAAACATCTGGTCGCCATTTTGAGAGGGATTGCAGGGGAATAAAAAGTATTTGAGTCTGCTTTGGGGAGGGGGATGCAACCTATGGGGAGGGATCTGGAGGGAAATCTATCCTTGGCCTTCACACAGTTGCCCATCCTTACATTAGAGCAAAGATCAACGGGATCCAGCAATGTTTTCCCAAAATCTCAAGCCAGATGCCCATAAGAAATTCACAAACAGGGCATGGTTACAACTGTGCCCTCCATCCTGCATTCCCAGCAAACAACTGGTACTGAGCGGTCATTGACAGATTTATCAGCTATGGAGTTTATCACATCGAGGCACATGGAGGCAAATCTTGTACAGAAATGGGGTTTTAAAATCTGCTAAACACCTGCAAATGCGAGTTGTTTTTCAGACGCATTGGCAGAAAGAGAAATAATGTGAAAATAACCCAAACAGAAAATCGACAAAAACCACTCCTTTCTACTTTTGGAATTTCCCGAAAGTAAAAAGGAGCAGATTTTATCGGCTTTCCATTCGGGTTATTTTCGCATTATTTCTCTTACACGCAAACGTCGTCTGAAAAACAACCCGCATTTGCTTTTTTTCTGCTTTCTGTTCGGGTTATTTTTTTGTTATTTCTCTTTCACGCAAACGTCGTTTGTAAAACAACTCATGTTTGTGGGTTTTTTTCTACTTTCTATTTGGGTTATTTTCACGTTATTTCTCTTTCGAGCAAACATCGTCTGAAAAACAACCCACATTTATTTTTCCCCCCCTCTACTTTCTGTTTGGGTTAACACTGAAAGTCATGTGAAAAATAACCCACAAAAGCAAGTCATTTTCTCTTTTGAATCTAGTTTCTGGACAGGATTTGTCCCGTGTGATAAACTCCTATGAATTTTCTAATCCCCTTTTAAAGCTGTCCAAATAAAATTTGCTGCATTTTAAAGTTTGGACATTTCATGACATAACATTGGGAAAAGAGGCTAAAGCTGGGAAAGTGGAAGAAAGTAGGAAAAGAAAGAGACTGCATTACAGGTGGATTGATTCAATCAAGGGCTGGATCCGCACTGCAAAAATAATCCAGTTTGACACTGCATTAACTGCCATGGTGCAATGTATAGGATTCTAGGAATTGTAGTTTTGTGAGAGGTTCAACCTTCTCTAACAGAGAGCTCTGGTGCCAAAACAAGCTACAGTTCCCAGGATTCCACAGCATTGACCCATGGCAGTTAAAGTGGTGTCAAACCAGATTATTTCTGCAGTGTGGATGCACATGGCAACTGATGCCAGGCGCTCTTGATGATCTCTCATTCATAAGGTCACCATAAGTCAAAGCAGACTTCATGGCAAATAGCAACAAAAAGTTCAATTTGTAAATACATTCTGAACAAAGTATACTTTTAATACATCCAACTTGATAATTTTATGCCAAACAAAGTTATACAGCATACAGGTTCAGTCTCCCTTATCTAGAGTTCTGAAAACCACCAACAAACCCAAACTTGGTTCAAGGCTGGCTGAGACAGTAAAACCTTTGCTTTCTAGCGGTTTAATGTACACAACTTTGTTTCAGGCGCAAAATTATTTTAAAAATATTAATTAAAATTATTAAAAATATTTTTATAATATTTTATAAAATTATCTTCAGGCTATGTCCATACGATATATATGAAACATAAATGAAATATGTGTTTAGATTTGGGTCCCATCTCCAAGATATTGCATTATATACCTATACGCAAATACAGGTATTCCACAGTCCCCCAAAATCTGAAATCCAAAGCACATCTGGTCCCAAGCATTTTGGATATATACTCAACCTGTAAGTTATTTTTTTTTTGTTCCTAAAATAACAAAATGACTCAACCTGTACATTTTTTATTTTATTTTTTAAAAAATCATTATTCCAGAAATTTTACATCTCTCCAGTGCAGTCAGGATATTAGACCATTGAGCTTTGCATTCTAGTCTACACAAATGGACTGCAGCTCTCTAGGGTTTCAGATAAGAGGTCATTCCCAGGCCTAGAAAGAGATGCCAGGGATTGAACCTGAGACCTTCTATATGCCAAGCATGCACTTTATCGCTAAGCTATGGAAGAAAGCAACCAACTGGGTGAAGAACAAGGTTGCAATGATGCCATGCCTTCTCTTTGCTCTAG